CCGAGGTCGCTTCCTACTGGCAACAGGTAGCTACTGCATACCCCCCCCCCACACACACACACACACACACTCACTGTGCAGAATAGTTTTTCTTAGTCTAACCCTTTGTCTTCCCATCTTTAACTCCTCCCTCCACATATTTAACTCCTCCCTCCCCATATTTAACTCCTCCTTCCCCATATTTAACTCCTCCCTCCCCATGTCAGAACCTCCCATCTTTAACTCCTCCCTCCCCATCTTTATGTATTATTAGGGATTCTCAGCGAAGCTGAAACCTGTTGTTATTCTTAGATTAACTTTGTCTTGACGTGGTCAGATAACTCCAGCATAGATTGGTAACTTTGTCTTGACGTGGTCAGATAACTCCAGCATAGATTGGTAACTTTGTCTTGACGTGGTCAGATAACTCCAGCATAGATTGGTAACTTTGTCTTGACGTGGTCAGATAACTCCAGCATAGATTGGTAACTTTGTCTTGACGTGGTCAGATAACTCCAGCATAGATTGGTAACTTTGTCTTGACGTGGTCAGATAACTCCAGCATAGATTGGGTAACTTTGTCTTGACGTGGTCAGATAACTCCAGCATAGATTGGTAACTTTGTCTTGACGTGGTCAGGATAACTCCAGCATAGATTGGTAACTTTGTCTTGACGTGGTCAGATAACTCCAGCATAGATTGGTAACTTTGTCTTGACGTGGTCAGATAACTCCAGCATAGATTGGTAACTTTGTCTTGACGTGGTCAGATAACTCCAGCATAGATTGGTAACTTTGTCTTGACGTGGTCAGATAACTCCAGCATAGATTGGTAACTTTGTCTTGACGTGGTCAAGATAACTCCAGCATAGATTGGTAACTTTGTCTTGACGTGGTCAGATAACTCCAGCATAGATTGGTAACTTTGTCTTGACGTGGTCAGATAACTCCAGCATAGATTGGTAACTTTGTTTCTAAATGGCATATTATATTAAATTATTATTTTGACACACAGAAACTAGACGCCATGAGTAACTTGGTCAAAAAGAATGGCACCGATTGGCCTATAGGTGGGCGCTGTTATCATCTTACTTAA